GTTTAAGTTTATGTAATCAGTATATATATATATATATATATATATATATATAAAAGAAATATGTACAGCTCCATGGTTTGAAGAAAGAATACCTACACAACTCTCTATTCTGATTACATGCATTCGGTTGTTATTAGTAACTTTTAAGATACAATTCTAAATTTATCAACATTTGTTTAAACCCTACTTTTTTGTTAGGGTTTTCAGAGTGATGGTTTTGAGGGAGACATAAAAATGAGAAATAACCAAACCCATTTCACTTTGTTCTTTTCTTTTCTTTTCTTTTGTTGTTAATTGCAATTCGAATTAGTGCAAGATAGACATCAGAGCCACTACAAGGAGCATCAAAAAGGAATTTCACACAAAGCAAACACCAAATTTACTGTAGAAAAAAGAAAGAAAAAGCACCACTAAAACTTGAGCTGGCAAATAATTAACAAAACACTTTATGCTTTGTGATGGGCCATCTGGGTTTTTATTCTTGAACTAATCAACATAATTTTTACTCTTAAAACAAACATGTCTTGATTTTGATTGAAAGTCAAGTTAGATATCACTAGGGTTTTGATAATATATATATATATATATATATATATATAACAATACTAAAAAGACCCAAAATCAATTGGGTATCTGCAGATTCTTATCAGATATCAATTGAAACTTAATTTGACATCTGGGTACATTTTGTAAAAGATGATAAAAAAAAAAGTGTTTGTAATGATAAAAATAATAGAGAAGATAGTGGAGAATACCCACAAAAAAGTTCATAACTGATTAATGACTTAAGTATGGAGGTGGGTTTTGATTCCTTATCTCATTGAGATTTCTTAGTCAAGGTTTCATGGCTTAAGTTGATTTGGTTAAGCATTTTCTTGACAAGGAAAAGCATATATATATGTATCTGTGTGTGTGTGAGTGAGAAAAAGTTTTAGTAGGAGACTTGAGAGTTGATATTGGAATTATATATAATGAAATCTACTTCAAAAGCAGAGAAAAAAGAAATTATAAGTGGGAGATTGAAGGATATGTACTCAAAGAAAAGATCATGCTTTGCCAAATAGGCTCTGTCTTCTGTGGCCACCTAGCTTAATCCCCTAATTAAGAAAAAGTTTTTTTTTTTTTTATATTTAATCACAAGTTTGATCAAAGTGCTTAATCATGATTAAAGCTTGATTTCATAATTAGCTCGGTGATTATGAAGATTTTGTTTAATTTTTCTTCTTTTTTTATGACATTTTTAGGTTGAAAAAAGCTTAAAGAAAAAGAAAACAACGAAATCTGTGTCAGTTTAAAAGACCAAAATTAATATTGCAACGAATTTCTTTTTCCTTCTCGTTCTACCAATTTTTAGTCATTTAAGTACCCAAATTTTTAGTTAAATTAAAATTAAACAAGAGGATTAGAAGAAAATAAATTTAAAAGAGAAATGAAAGAAAAGGAGAAAACATCTCTCGCAGTTTCCCATTGTTGGGCCGGGCCCAATACCCAATGGGCCGGCCCAATATCCTCTTTTCGCCGGGTAAATAAAATTGAATAATTTAAAAATGGCCCATTTCCACCTTCAATTGGGCTTGTGCAAAATCACACCAATCAAATTATATGCAACTAAATTAAGAATTAAAGTAAAATTAATTGGGAACTTGTTGTAAAAAACCCATGTAATCTTAATCATAATTATAAGAATACATAAAAATGACTGTAAAGAGGGTATATGGGATGAAGTAGACAGTCAAATCCAAAGTCAATTATATGTTTATCTTTTGGTGGATGTTGATGCATGTTATGTAAATGGGATTTTTATATGCTTGGCAAAACAATTCATCATCATCATCATCATCATCATCATCATCATCATCATCATCATCATCATCATCATCATCACCACCACCACCACCACCATCAGGACCACCAGAAAAAAGAAGACAATTTGGGGTCCAACTGCAAATTGCTCCCATTAACAACAAGAAGAAGAAATTTGAACAGTCAACTTCAGCCACATTCCATTCACTTTCCATTTCCATTTCCCCAAAAAGCTAAAAAAGGAAAAAAACTAGCAGCATAAACTGATACCACAAAAGTTAATTTGAGTGTTGTATGTATACACGTATATCTATATTTTATAGCCCATCATTTGTACACACATTCTTTGATCGTTGCAGAGCAGAGCAGACTGATAAAAAGTACAGAGCTAACTGTTTCAGAGTTTTTTCAAGTTTCAAAACCAAGTCTCTCCTTAAAAAAATAGAAACTGACCCACCAACAATTTCATATTTTTATTCAATCGTATCAGGATTTCAATTTCTGTAAAGTGGGTCAGAAAATGGTACACTAACTACATCATACAAAAACTACCTGAATATCACGTATACATATAATATATATATATATACATATATGATGACATGAACAAAACCACCTCAAATTCTACACGCTTTCAACAGCTATACCCTAAACAAGTGTACTAGCATACACCACTCGAAGGATTCTATGATCAATTTTTTCAGTTTTGACATTAATAGTTTCACCAACCAAATTATACAGTACAACTTATTTTTAATCCATAAGACTCTCTGCAAAATCTCCTATTTTTTTGTTCTTCTGTTTCACCGCTGCACATAAAGTATAGGCTAAATGCTTAGAATTCTATATATGATATGATTCTTTGAAAGGAAATAATAATAATAAATTTCAAGGAGTAAATTTTTATTTAGAACAAATAAGCAATAAAGTTTTTGGATTAAATCAAAAAAGATATATAATAAAATTCGTTTGGATCACTACAGCTAAGAAAAACTCAAGAAGGATGATCACTCAACAAGATCACCATAAAGGGCAGTATGCAATTTTGCCATTCCTATCTTCACCACAGTTTTCAAGCTTCAAGGAGGAAGAAGGTTTAATCGCATTCATATCCAACACAGCCATTAATCTAAACCCTTAAAAAGGAAAGCACAACATTAACTTAAATCTAACATGCAAATACCATATATAACATCTATAAGATATAGCGCTCGCGGTTTGAAACATAAGCTGAAATTTCGATATCAACTCTGGCCAAGCTCGATAACATTCTATGATCAAACAAACCGAAAGCTGTTTCTAATTTAGTTCAGGATAATGAAGAACTCTACAATGAATTAGATGCAAACCTAGTAACTGAATGACAGCATTGGATATAACCAAATGAAATGTACTCGTCTCCTGGAAAGCAACAAATCAAAGCCATAAAAATCTTAGGATTTTCTCTGCTCTCTCTTCCTAGAAAATTATTTTGGATTTTCATTGTCTAAATTGATATATGTATAGTTTTCATTTTCACTATCATTACCCAAAGTTTACTTTCATGTTCAACAACTAGACATGGTTTTATATATATACAAACATATATGAGGTTAAGAAAATAAAATAATCAAAAATAAATTTGTACGAGTAAACAGGGCATAAGATGTTTAGAATTATCAATTTATCTCTGTGTATAAACAAAAGGGCAAAACTACATGAACACCCCATATCATCATGGCCAATTGCTAAAACATTCACAACAGTAACAAATACTACTACAACTGCTCTGGTTAATTTAACAACCGTACAGGAAAACCTACCCCTAAAATCAGTCACCTGTAGCATCTACCAACAGACGCGAAATAAATAGGCTTGCTTCATCACGTGCTCAATACTAAAGCAAACTTCCTATTCAGGCTTCCTGTTGTTGCTTCTACTCAATAATCTTCCAATAAATATGAGCCTCAAATCACTATTCATTTCCGTTTGACAGCAGGTTCCGAGACTAGAAAACATAATGAATAGAAAATTTCACATCAAACACTGATCTCCCTCAGATTTACTTCGTTTCTCAAATCTACAAATGGGATTTTCATATTTGTTTTGACTTCCATATCAAACATTTAGATACATTAAATACTTTATAACTTAGAAGATAACTTAATCAGTAGTCATGTAGGTGTTGCGTAATAAGGATATTTCTATTCAAGAATTCAAATCAACTCTTCTGGAAGCAAACAGTTTGATTTCTAACAAAATAAGATAATCAAGACTTCAATACTGCGATACCTTGGAAAGCTACCTTGATTTCTAACATATCTAAACAAATGGTTACACCGAGAGGATATTCCAGAAAAACTCACATTATTTACACAAAATAAATATGAAGACTTCCATCCACCATGAGGGATGGAAGATAATCAAAGGGCAAATTGCCTCCATCCACCACAACCACAAATGATTAAAGCCTCAATATATCAAGCATATACAAGTAATATCTTTTCATTTTTAGACAAGAGCTGGGACCTGCTTATTTATACATTAATTTCCCATTAATAATTGTGCTAATGGGATATCCATGCATCCAATTAGACTTTAAATAGATCATTATTTCTTGAATAAGTAAAGGTTCATGTGGCCAATTCCCTAAACTAGTGGTTACCTAACTATTTTCTTCAAAGGTGAATTTCATATTCTCTACTAGTTGTGTTCTAAAGTGTTCAAAAACAGAAACCCCTCACCCCCAACCTTTGCTCTTAAGGAAAGAAGAGCCATGGGTATCAGCTATTAGCAGCAATTGGTAATAGATTTCAGCTCCACAGATAAGATGTGATCTCTGCATATCAAAGGGCTCAATAATCAATATACTAGACCTTTTGTGTAAGTTTATGATTCAAGACTGTCAAACTTTGGCTTTTAACTTTTTTTGTTTTTTGTGCAGCGATCATCCCTCTAATAGGAAAGCACTAGGGGTTACAATAGACACGTCGACTAATTTGACTCTATATCTTTCATACCTTGGTGCACCTCACTGGTACCTTGTGAATGAATTTTTTGCTTTTTTTACAGAAAAAGAAAAAGGAAAAAGAAAGTACTCAATAGCATTTAACTCATCGCAATCCCAAACAGATGGCAACAAGAATAAAATGATCAATAAATGCTAGATCTCAATAAACAGAAGAGAAACCAAAAACCAAAGAAAATTTCCACAAGAATTACAAAGATAGCAGGGAGATGCTCATAATATATAGCTCATCAATTGCCAAGATAAAGATAATCATTACATAAACCACCATTCAGGATAAATCTCTCTAGACTTATTTTCTCCCTTGAAGACAATACCAATAAAAATAAAGGATTGAACTGATATAACTAGCTCTGTTTTTTTAAAGAGAAGTTTCATCAAACTCTTGCGATAACCTACCAATGTGTTGGTACTTCAAATTATTAAAACTATTTCTGTGCTACATAACGCCAACCTCTGACATGTTGCTAAAACTGGGGGAAGGCATAAATTCAATGAAAGAAAATTTTGAATGAAGTTTCGAAGGAAAAAAAAAAGAACTCAACTTCAAATAAAACATTCTGTTGATTTGAGTTCTTGCCTATCCTTCCCACCTGAAAGGGGAAATATATGAAAAAGAAAGAAGGGGCAAATTACCCATTAGCAAGAATGCTGTGTTGAAGTAGAAACCAATCTTGTACATCTGTTGGCAGCAAGGCACCATTTGAAACAGGATACTCTCAGAGTCCAATTTAGCATCCCATAACAGCACAATTATAGACAAAGTTACTTGACTGCCTTCTCGCAAGCAAGTTCCATTGTGGAGGGCCTCCACTAGGAACCCAAGAATTGAGCTCTATATAACCTGCACCCAAAGTCCTAGCTCCACTAATCACAATAAGCCGATCTCCACAAGCCCTAAATGCAAGACCCCATCCGTTCATTGAGACTGCTTGCTCAGGCAGTCTTCCCACTGTATACCAGGATCTGCTGTTCTTATCATACTTTCTCACCTCCATATCAGCATAGTCAGCAGCATAGAGTTCATTATTTACCACCGCAACAAGAGGAGGTGCCTCAGATGCCACAGGCTTATCGTTCTCCCCAGCTGCAGCACATCGTGCTGGAGACATGTTTGGGATCTCAGTCCACTTCCTAGTCTCCAAGTCATACTCCTCTCCACATGTAAGAACCTTTGAATCACTTCCTCCAATTCCTCCAATTACATAAAACTTCTTATCCATAAAAACCCCAGAACACATCTTCCTCGGTTTGTTCATACTTGGCAGTGTTGTCCAAGTTTGGTTCTCTGAGTTATAGAGCTCAGCGGAGTTCAAGATATTTCCACTAGAATCACAACCACCAGCTAAGATTGCAATCTCTCCAAGGCTGGCAGACCCAAACAGGCACCTAGGGAAGTTCATCCTCATCCCAGAAGACCATGAATTTGTCAAAATACTGTATCTATATATTATATGAGAGTTCAAGCCTTTTCCAAAAACAAGAAGCTCAGTGCCCACAGCCAATGATTCCTTATCCGCCCACATAAAGCAATCGTTAGAAGCCATCCTTGGTAAATTCATCCACCTTTGACCAATAGGATCAAAGGCCTGCCACTCAAGAAGCTGGCAAGAAAAATACACCCAATGTTCAACTAGCCCATTCTGCCTCCTCAATCTGTAAATCTCCCCACTCCTTATTAAGGAATTGAAACTCCGGTTCAACGATGCAATGGACCCATAGTCAGCCCTGGAGCATCGAATAAGACAACTGATTGAGTTGTCTCTACCAATGGGATGGATAAGAGGATCCGAATCTGATGAATCCCCAGCATGGTTTTCTTGCTGCAGCTCATCATCCAATTGCTGGGGCTCATGGTCCTGGAGCTGGGCATCATCTGAGGGCTGTTGGTTTTGCCTGGTTTCATGAGAGCAGAACTGGGACAGGTCATCATCAGACTGCTCTTCCTCATGATCATAAGGCTGGTCATAATCAGATTGCTCTGGCTTGTAGTCATGAAGATGGTAGCGGTCCAACTGTTCTTGCTCTAGCCTGGCTTCAGAACAATCCTCAGAAAGATTGTCTTGACTATCATCCGACTGCTGTGCTTCATCCTCATGGAGTGGAGAATCCTCCGATTGTTCTTTCTCTCGCCTGGCTTCTGGAGAAGAATATTCTGATAGCTTAAAAGACTTACTTAGCCCGCCGTCATCTTCACTTTCCAATGGACGCTTGCCAGTATCACCGCCTAGCCTCGGATACATGTAAGAAGACCACTTGGTTTCTTGCTGGCAAGAGCTGGAAAACACCCTCGAGACCAGACAAGAGTTACAGGACCGACCCTCCAACATATCTTCGCGGTTCAATCAGTAAAGAGAGGCACCAAATTCGCCGTCTCACCTGGATCCAAAGTTTTAATCTCCAGTCACGAGAAGAATTTCCACAACCAAGAAAAACTAAGGCCAAGCACCCCGAGTAGCCGACAACGCGGTCAAAGAGAGAATCAACCTATGAAGAGAGAATTAATTGCAGCTTTAATGAAAGAAAGAGGGTTTGGTTTCAAGAACAAACGGAAATTTAAAACAAAAAAAAAAGAAGCTTTAATGGTTTGGCACAGTAGGAAGGATTAGAGAAAAATTTTTCGCGTTTCAATCTATGCTATATGCATTACCGTCTGAATCCAAAGAAACAATGATACAGATTGAGCATATAAACAGATCTTTTCAATTCAATTCTTTAGCTTTGTTTCACAAAAAAGTCAAAGCTAGAATCGAGAAAGCTCCTTCACCAAAATCAGTACAAACAATCCAAAAAGCCCAATTAGAAGGAGAATTAATATGAAACTAGGTCAAGAAAAGAGAACCAGATCTCCAAATTCTCAGAAATGTTAAAACTGAAAGGCAATTGGATTAAAGTGAGAAAACCCGAATTAGATCCGTTTCCAATTAGTTAATCATGTTAAACTCCCCATGACATCAATTATGTCGCTTGAGAAAACATTAGAAACTATTTATAACACGAAATGAAACACGGAAAAGAGAAAGCAAGAGAGAGAGGAAGAAGAAGAAGAAGGAGAGAGAGAGAGAGAGAGAGAGAGAGAGAAAGAGAAGAAAAACACTAATAATAATAATAATAATAATAATAACAATAATGGCAATGCAAAGGGACTTACAGATTGGATAAGAAGAAAAAAAAATTAAAGGAGGAGTTGATTGGAGTTTTTAAAATCAACTATCCCTCTCTTTCTCTTTCTCTCTCTCTCTCTCTTTCTCTTTATATATCTTTCTATTCTGTTTCTGTTCTTGGCGTTCTTCTTCTTCTTCTTCTTCTCTGTCCTTTGGATTCTCTCTGCAAATCAGAGGGTTTGGGCATGGAGAGCAAAATCTTTAAGAGGTCCCCTTTATCTCTCTTAAACCTTTTATCTATTTATTTATTCTTTTATATACATATATTTCATTTCATACACTAGCATATTTATATATTCTTTTTTACTATAATAATATTATTAATAAAATCAATCTCCCCAATATATATATATAGAGAGAGAGAGAGAGAGCGTTTGCATATGTTTTGGGTGGTGGACGGGAAGTAGCGGCGGTGGCGTGACGGTGGAAACGGCGGCGGCGGTGGGGCCCACAAAATGTCGGAGCGAGAATTTTGGTTACTAAATTATTTTTTATTTTTATTTTTTTGGCCGTTCCTGAAACCGGTAACCGGTAAGCGCCGGTGTTGACACGTGTTGACTGGGGAGAACAAAAACTGTCGACATACTATTTTCCTTTTTCTTTTTCTCTTAATTCAAATTTTTTTTTTTTCTCTTAATTCAAATTCTCTTTTTCGTTTTACTCGATTACTATTTATTCCAAATTATCGTCCGGTCAATGTCTCGTACTTGAAAGTTGAAACCAGTTTTCACTTTGGCCTCTTGCTGTGTGTGTCGGGTCAGTAATTATTACATCATCACCCTTACGTTTTTTATTTTATTTTTTAATTAAACATAATTAATAAAATTTTATTTATTCTTTTAAAGAAATGTATCTAAAATATTGGGGTTTCTTTCAAATTTTCATCTGTTATTATTAAAAATAAATAGTTATTATTTATATATATAATCTTAATTATAAAAAATAATTCATTTTTTATGTTGTTAATTTTAACTAGATAGAGTATTTAAATTAATTAATTAAACAAAAATAAAATAGTTTTATCTAATGATAAGGTGTGATCCGGTGTATTAAGTAGAAGTTGCATCCATTAAGTTAATTCGGTGATTGATTAGATTAACTGGCCCACTTTCCTTAATCGTGATTTGACCAGTCTAATCTTATCTTATCAACTATTTAATCCTGATCTTAACGTATCAAAGTAATCATAACTATCAACACTGTATTTTTAATTTGACTGGTCAATCTTCCATTTTATCATTCCAAATTTTCTTTTATTTATTTTTTTTTTAAAAAATTCTTCCACTAAATTATATTTAAAAATAAACATTACCATAAATGGGAATTATACTATTCTCGTTATTAAATGGGAAATTTATTTTTACTTATTTATTTTAATTACAACGTGCTTTGATTTTTGTCTTATATATATATATAAATATATATATATCGTGTGTGTGTGTGTTTGTATATACCTTGCATGTGTACTATATAACTAAAAGAGAATTTAATTCCATGGGCAGAAAGAATTTTCTTTATGCCTTTATTTCGTTCTTTAAAACTTTTTCTTGTGGTGAAAATTCACGAGAGGTTCAACGAATATGGTTGGATGTATAATCAAAAATTCAAAAATTTTAAAAATAATATATTCGCATATATATATATACACATTTTTTTCCTTAATTAAAATAATTAATTGGGTTAAAAAAATAAATAAAAAATACACTGTGGGTAGATTCTCATTTCATCATTTCAATATTTTTAATTATAAAAATCTTATATTTATTTAGTGTCCGACTCAATACTTTATTACCTGTCACCATGAAAATAATCATCGTCTCTTTTTCTTTTATATTTAACTTTTTTATTAAACGAAAATTAAAAAATAATAATAATATTAAATTACGTAATAATTAATTTGTTTAATTAAAAAAGATTAATAATATTAATTATAAAATAACACTCGTACCGGCCAGCACCACCAGTCAATCAGACAAACCGAAACAGCTAATTGTGCTCCATTGTCGTTGTGGTCATTATCGCATTGACCATCATCTTTAAAATTAATTAAGAGTGGAGGCAGGTTTAACAAAATTACTAAACTACCCACGCCGACTCCCCGCAAAACGACAACGTTTAGTAGGGAGAGTATCGTAATTTTACCAAATTGCCAGCGCCGCGTTTTTTGTTGTCCTCGTGAGGAAAACGGCAGAGGACCAAGTCAATGATAATCACAAATTAAAATCTGGGGATTAAATTAATTTATCTGTTTGAAAGCTGACCGCTATTTGATTAAAAACAATTAGTGAGTGTTAATTAATTATTTTATTAATTAAATTAGTTAACGTTGTTTTTGAGTATGAAAGCTGGGGTGGCTGGTTGGGTGGTGAAGGTGGCGGTGGCGGTGGTCCCACCGACTTTTAAATCCATACGTCTCTCAAAAGATATTCACAGGATTACACGGCTCCCAAAACAAGCCAGCCTCTTGTTTGTATCACGAGGGTTTGACCCGCACGTAACTTTAGAATTTTTCTCTACTGGTTTTATCGACTAATAAAATAATTAACTTTTAATTAGTGATTATTTTATCTTAAGAAACGTGAAAATGTGGGCATTATCAGTTGGACTCTTTCGGCCGTAAAGATAATTTGAATTTAATGGGTGTACTTAGCACTAATACGCAAAAAGTAGAATAATTACAGACCCAAAAAAAAAAAAAAAGGCAATTGGATCAAGACTTAATATTTATAATAATATTCGGGTAGGTTTATCCCTTAATTCAAATATTTTATTGCATTAATAATTGCAATTTTGTATTTTGATTATTATTCTACAAATTTGAAACTTAATTATTATATATAACTAATAATTAAAACATTTGAAATCAAATTTATTATTCTCGTGAACTCATCATTGATTTTGTTATTATTCTTATTATCATTATTATTGTGGTCGTTGCTGTATTTACAAGTGTGATTAGATAAGATAACGAGACGAGTGAAGTTTTACACATTTTCATTCAAAAAAGAGTAAAAAAAATTACCCATTTTTGATGTTATCTAATGATAATTAATAGTAACTTTTCTCACCAATTATGTTTTATAGTAATTAGTAGTAATAACTTTATATTATTATTATTTTTAAATATATTAATGAGCAACGATTAATATTCGGTTGTTAATTTATGATAATATTTTAAAAAATAAATAATTATTTATAATTATATTAGACTTTATTAAAAAAGACATATGGTGAAAAGTTAAAGGCTCACAGTAATTACATGACATTGCCCAATTCGAAAGTCGACGAAATTGTGAGTCCTCGTGTGATTTTCTATACAATGGGTTCAAAAAGTGAGGATAATGTTTTTGGAGCGGCCATACGAAAGATTAATGAGGATAAGTATTTAGGGGTCGAAAGTAGATGTTATTAGCTAATGGAAATGCTTAACATATAAGAGGCACTTAGAGAACCCATATCGCTTAGTTGAGCATAAATAAAAAAGGAGCACTTATTATTAATGTGCGATTGTAAGGTACAACTTTTCATATCAATGATCTAAGTAAAACATTTCGTGGAATAAAAAAAAGTGAAAGACAACAGTAAGCTGATTTTATACAGGAACTGAGATAATTTCACGTATAAATTCCAAGTCCTCTTATTCCTTAGGAAAATTCTTGGTGATGCATTATTTGGAACTTTGGTGATAAGACATTGTGTGCAATAAAAATTTGAATACAAAAATGCAATAAATGTATTATGGTGAAGCTTTTTTGAATGCTCATATGGATTTACATGTGCATGTTGATTTCTCCACAAATAAAGTAGGTATGCTATGATTGACCTACAAAAAAAAATGCCCATCCGTGTTTAATATTGTGATCTAGTTTTTAAGGTTTATTAAAGTACACATAGAATCTACTACGACATTACAATATCTCAAAATGAGAAAAACGTATTCCCCATTATGAATGAAATCATAGAAGTTCGGTGAGAGAACACTCAAGCAAAAGATGATGATATGCATCTTGTCTGGCTAATATAACCTATCTAAAGTAGGATTAGTAGAAGAGTTAAAAATCATTCATGGGAAGGACTAGTATAGAATTCTCCACTAGAGATTTTTGTCTTTGGACAAAATAATGGATTTCCAAAGAGTCCTCTAGAGGCAAAACTTATTTAGGATTTAAAAAAGGCTTATAAAGCATTTTTTGTAGTTAATGATGAGGACGGAGTATGTGGGGTACTAGGTACATTTATCTATTTCATGACAATCTAGGACTTGGTAGTTGGGAGGATAAATAATATAATAGAATGAACAAATTATGCAGAACGAGAACAGTGATTACAATAGTTGAAGAATTATGTAGAACAGGAATCGAGAATGGCATCATCGGATATATTTTTTGTATTTTCCCGCGGCGGCGCTTTACCCATAATTTCCAGCCAATTTGTCAGTCATTTTACTCCGATTTGGTCATGGAGATGTTTAAAATCGAATTTCGACTAAAGAGGAACATTTTTACCTATTTGGCGGTCGAAAGTGGTTCTAGTGCGGCAGCGGCGGCGGTCGGCTTCCTTCCCAGCTGCTAGGGTTAGGGTTTTGTGTGAAAAGAGTTATTTATATCTGTTCTCTTTTAATCTGGATCGTCTATCGCGTTTGATCTGAACTGTTCGATCGCGATTAAATAGGGAGTGAATATGGGCCGTTCATCGCGATTTGATCTGTACCGTCCGATCGTGTTTAAATAAGGAAGTTGACATAGATTGTTCATCGCATTTAAATCTAACCGTCCGATCGCGTCTGGGGAGGAAACGGATTTAGACCGTTTGTGCACGTGGCAATGAATTTGGACCGTTCGATTGCAGGCACGCGGATCGCCCGCGTGGCCTCCCGTGTTGCACCGCGTCAGCGTCCATTGCCACGCGGTGCGCTTCGGTTTGTCGGGGCTGCTGACTGGGCGTCCTGCGTG